TGTATGTATGTATGTATGTATGTATGTATGTATGTATGTATGTATGTGTGTGTGTATGTGTGTATGTATGTGTGTGTGTGTGTTATATATGTATATCGGATTATTTGGGTATATATGCAGAATACTATGCAGCATATATATATATATATGGGTCATTCCATTATCCCAGTCACGTCAGACGGTCTCGACTGTGTCATAAACATTGACATTGTCTGACAAAATCATGTTCCACAAAACACATACAGTAAAAAGATCGGCACAAAACCCAACAACTGTGAGGTTGTTGCAACAACTAATTCGGGGCATCACGAAGCTTGTTGAGTTTGATGGCTGCTGAAGAACCATTGGTCACTCTGGAATGAGACAATCACCCCGTTGCAAATGTTGCAAAGGACCCTCGCTTTCATTGGCGCTTTGCTCGCTCTCTCTCTCTACCTCTCTCTTCACAGTGTGACTCAAACGCAGCCGTCCCCCCGGGACACACGGTGAACAGCTGGAGGCATTCAAGAAATGGTCAGTCGGTCTTCCTTCCTCCCTTACCTTTCTTCCTTTAGTTGTCCACTCCATGTCGACGTGACTCACGCGCCTCCCTGTTCGCCAAGTCGCTCCATGCAAAGGCCGAGGTTCCTCAACGTCCTCCGTCTCACACTTCAGCACCACCTTGGGGCCTTCAAGCGGTCGTAGGCTGAAAGGTCCAAGTGGAGAAAACATTCTAAGTGCTATCACATGATAACTGATGGGATTCCTTTTCATGAGGATTATACTATGAGAAAGGACTTCGGAAGGTCAATCAATGTCAATCATGGCCAGTTCAGCATCAGAACTTCCAGCTTTCAGCTTGCCATCATGAGTAGCCAAGGTGCAAATAGACGGGTAGGCCTTTGAGCCACCAAATTGCCTCGATCGTTTCAAGGAGTAACGAAGCTCTTCGGATCCCTTCCTCCCCGGAAGAAAGCCCTTGTAAAGACCTGCAGGACAACGTGTAACCGTGTAACCCATGCAGGTGGTGCAAGAGGTGTATACCGAGACATGTTGTCCATATCCATGCATGCCGGGTTAGGAGCGTGCATCACCAATCGATGGATCAATCTTGTCCGAGCTCAACAGTATTGAGCATCGGCACCCGCCAGGCGCCCAGTGCCATTTCTACAGCAACCACAACGACGACGACGACACGCAAACATGCACAGCCGCTTGCACACTTTGATCTATTTAAAAAAGCTTACTAGACCAAAAAAAATAAGACTTATATTACACTTATCACCACTCAGCTGGGTCAGGTCATCTCAGCAAATTGAGGCACTGAACTGACACAGGCAGTGATGTGTTGAGTATTGAGACCATTGAGACCTCCTGAGTGAGAGGTAGGGGCGTCCGCTTGAGGCAGCTGGCAGCTGCGGCTCAGCCGCAGCTATGCGCGGGTGTGTTGGGCAATGGGGAGTGCCTCACGTTACTACAAATTCATTGGACAACTCAAAGCGTCAAACCCCTAAAAGAGATTTCTGTTGATGGTTTCTTTCAACAGTGTAAGTCAAGAGCACCATAGAACAGCCAAAGATTGTCTAGACAAAGCCAAAGAAGGAAGTGCTTGAGAAGCCTGGCCAAAGAAAGTAAAAAGCGCACACACACAGAGCCTCACGCAATAATCATCACTTCATCACAGTGCATCGAGGACCTCAACAACATCACCTTGCGACATCACCGCAGTCTCTTCCCCGTTTCCTCTCCCTCGATCTACTCACGTATAGCTATCGAAAGATCTGTGACGTCAAGGCCTTCTTCACTGGGCATTGCAACAATCACCGGACTATTTCACCCCATCGAAGTCCACAAAAATTAGCCTCCATCATTGCCGATAGCATATCCCAACATCTTGCTTGTGGCCGCACCCCTGAATGCGATCCATAAATAACCTGCTGCAAGCCCCTTCACCTAGCATCACCGTCTTGAAACAACTCCAGCAAACGTAGATGTTCTTGGCTGCGCCAACCGTCACGAACTGGAAACGAGCGCGAGCGCTCGTCTCACAGCTTGGCTTGGAACAAACGTTGGTCGGTGATTGGTTGTTCCCTGGCGATGTCGGTCGAGAAGCTGCCGATAATCTGGCCACACTCCAGCCTCAGCCGAGGAAATCGAATGCAAGCAAACAAACATATATAAAAACAAAAACATTTAAGTGATTGTCACTCTATGAAGAACAGCTATGTGCATGAGAAACCCACCTGAGCAGCTTCGAAAACCCCTATTACTTTTTTGTATAATCCAGGTTTGCTTTCGCAAAGCTTTCGCGGAGCTTTCGCGGCCTGCATTCTGGCTTTCGCGGCGATTCGTTTTCGATTGGGAAATTCGATTGGGATATTGTACAATAAAGTGATTGATCTATATATATATATATAAGTTATCCGATATAAGTGTCCTTAGGGTGGTCAAAACTGAACAAATTTCTTTCCGGCAACATCCTGGCACAAGGAGTTGTAGCAGCACCGTTCAAGTATTATTGTTGTCATCAGAAGAGGAGGAAAACTTGCTGAAACTTTTTGCTGGGGCCAGATACCTTTCCCGGATATTTTCGACTTTCGCGGTTCTTTCGCGAGGCTTTCGCGCGGGTTTCGCGGAAATTCGTCTGGGCTTTTCGATTTTCCCCTGAAACACTTGCTCTTCAGCGCTGCTGCTGCTGCTGGCTGGTGTGCTGCGGCTGGCTGGCTGGCTGGCTGGCCTGCTGCGGCTGCCTGCATAAAAATATGGTCACCCACATAAACAACACGACATGCACAAGAAATTCGACTTTCGCGAAAGCTTTCGCGACGCTGTTCTTCTGGGCTTCTTTCGCGGGGCTTTCGCGAACCTTTCGCGACCTGCGTTTTGGCTTTCGCGAAAGAATGTGAGATTACAGTTTGCACACTTTCCATCATAGAGGTTTTTGAAGCTGCTCACCTATTGATCATTGGGATCTGGCCTTTTGATCAGTAGCAAGGATCACTGGATATCAACTCATGGGACAAATTTATAAGATTGTCAGCATCACCATCGAAAGTGCGAGCCACAGTTGAAATATATTGAAATCCTTCGGAACACTTCAAAGGATGCGCCGACCTCTAGGAACCCACTGAAGTTCTATCAACTCGTTTCAGGGGAACTCCAGCCGCGCACCTCGCGCACAACGTCAAAAGCAAGGCGCGGCCAGGCAGTCCACAGTATGCTGCTGCTTCATCTCCGGGCTGAAGTGATCAGGCCTTGTGCTGGCGACTAGGGCAAAGCTACAGAAGAGGGCCACTAGCAGCACTTGAAACAAGTATTAAACAACATGAATGCCATTAAAACATGTTTTCACATTTTTATCTGTATCTTTTCGGCCTCTATGACCAGTCTCATGTTTGGCAAAAAAAGGATTAAGAAAGGTCCAAACATCGCAAATGGTTCCGCTCTCAGCCTTTGCGTCCATCTGTCACAAGCAAACCCTTCGTGCCGCTAGGCCGCCACTGGGTGCATTGGTGGGGGTCGCATTCTTGTAAGTAGTGCTCAATCCCTGGCATCGATCAAATCCGCACGGTCTTGTGGCAGGCGATCCAATCCAGCTGCCGAAAATAAGAACACCTTCTGGTGTGGTCGTTGCAATGGATTTCCGAAAATACCCGAAGATCCAAGATTGTGAAGCGGAGTCCTAGGCTCATCTGATTCCAAACCCATGATATCCTGAAGTGAGTGACCTTCACTGCGCCGAAACCCTCCACGATCTTTCTCCCTGAACCCATCACTTCCAAGCATCAAGACTTGATGGCAAGCGAGACATCACTTCAACTGACACCCATGGATACCGACTGGGAATCTGCAACTCTACCATGCTTTTCCTGACCTGTACCTACCAACCTGCTGGAAATGGTGTACAACCTCTTGATCACCACATCTATTTGGTGATATTTGGTGCCATATGTCTCTCTCTCTCTCTCTCTCTCTCCAGGCATCCAAAAGAGTGACGACATTCTGGGCCTGGTGTTGCAGATGAGATCAAAGCTAGCGTAAGAACCTCGGCAAACTATTGCATGTTTCAATGTATGTCTGGCTGTTATGTGCCTAACATATGTACAACAAATAAATATACACAAGGGTGCGTGTTGTTCTTTCATGTTCACATATGACATGTGTTCTATTTATACATTCATGATACATTCATGGTATGATTTTTGCCTACCCCAACCCCTAACTAACTATCCAAGGTTATATATATATATATATATCTGCACTGACCGGATTATCTTTTTGGACCGCGGGGTCATCAAGGAGGCAGGCCCCTAAGAACTGGAGACGTGTTGTTTCCAAACTGGACAGCTCCTATCCCACAAAGAATGCAACAGCAACAAGTATGAGCCCCTAAATACCAAAAAAGCTATGCTTTTTTTCGATGGCAACATGAAGAACTGCAACCAAAAAACGAAAGAAACAACAAACACCAACAAACCCTGACCCATGCTAATGCCAACATGTTTTGAAAGGCAGCCCTCTAACCAAAATACATGATCTGCGGCCAAAGGACCAACTTGTCAATGCATGTGTCTCATGGCCACCACTGGCCACTTGTCTATGTTCCTAAGATCTATTCCAACGATCTATGGGATTTCTGTAGGTGTTCTTTCCCAAACACTCCATGGGACTGCCATATTTGCCTACATTGGGGTGGTTCCAGGGGTCAATGTAGGCATATATGCCCATACATGGAGTGTCTGCGTTTTGTCGGTATTAGTTATTAGATGTTATTAGTTTAATGAGTTCTTGGCACAATTCGACATCTAATTTTTCCCGTACGCCGTACTTCGTGCCAATAGAGAACAGCGGCCAGGTCTCCAAGACAAGCTAGAGTAACTAGAGGAACTTTAAAACAATCAACACGACCAAAGCACAAAATTACGTGGAAAGCTGGCAGGGGATGCAGTGGGCGTTTCGCTAGCCACATGGATGTTCTATAGGTATCTAAAATCCCCTAAGAAATCCTAATCAAGGATCCAATACCGACAAGGACACTCATCATACATTCTTCCTGGAGGGACGTTCCACACTTATTCCACACTCCTTGGGGTGTGAAGCGCAGGCAGGCAGAAACATCGCACAGGCAGGCGGGAATTTTCCCTGTTTGTGGAGAGACGCTGCAAGACGCTGCTTGCAGCCTAGTCGTGATGAAAACATCAAATATTGAACACAACTGCCTGGGAAAACATCTGTGCTAATGATCAGTGGGGTCTTCAAATGGAAGAAGATCAGTAGCCTAGTCAAAATAAACCTTAAATAGATTTAAGGTCTTTGCTCCTGATGGAAGAAGAAGGCCAGCCGATGCCAGTCTTACTCAAAGGGGTCTTCATTCGCCTTTCGAGAATCTATCTATGTATATATATATATATATCCGAAACGGGGTGCAGGTTTTCACTGGGCATATCACGGTCACAAGCTTCACAAGTGTTCTCCAAACCACACAGCATCCCACTCAACCCATACGAGGAAACCTTGAGCATATCCTTGCCGCAATCTTGTTCCTCCTCGTGAAAATTGAAGAGCCTTCGTTGCTTCTGTCACTTCTGTCTGCTCTGGCCTGTTGAAACCTCCAAGTGGCAGTCATCACGAGCCCGCAGATGGAACAGCCGCACTGCAAAGCATTGCAGCCACAAAAGCATCCCACAAGGCCTCTGAAGAGGGGCTGCACACTCCCAATCGAGATGCAAAGTGTTCAGACCGATTTGGAACGGATCTGGGGGGTCCGGACTCGGGGACTCTGACTGAATCAAACAGGACACCCAAACAGAATCAAACAAATAAAATCAATGGGTTCTTGGTGTGGTTGCCAGACGTTTTGAGCTTTTAGTGGCAGGTCAATCGACAAAGTTTCTATTAAACATCTATATGAGCAGCTGACAAAATTACTTGTGTAGCCAAATACCATTTGACATGATTACAGGGTCATACCGTGACTAAAAGTCAACCAATAATTTTGTCCGTCGCTCATACATACACCATTACTATCCATTACTGAAATCGATCGTCTGCGAGTGAGATCCTCAACTGCATCCGCACCTTGACTGTCTGACTTCGCGCCAAAGTACCCACACAAAGGTACCTCGGAAAGCTGGTGAATGGATGCCAGCTATGATCCTCAATGGGTGGGCCGTCCCACCGTCGGTTGTCGAGTGAACTTCACATATTTCGACCTCGACCTCAATTAAAAAAAGGGCTCCGAAAGCATCTCAAAGCCTCAAAGCCATGCCACAGTCTACATTGCCATGTGGAATGATTGGGTCTTTCACAGGGTTTCATTCTATTCGGTGTGGCAGTGTGGTTCTGGCATGTTCTGGCTTCTTGCCTGGTTAGAGGGAAACACTTTGGAGTACAGCGGGGATTCATCATGGTTGGACTGTCCCGCGCACAATGCATAATCTATATAGACTCATTTGCAGGATGTTCGGAGGCTGGCGCTCAGAGCCTCTGCACGCACGAATGATTCCAACATGATCGGGCTGTCCCAGGTCCCACTTTTTCTTCAAGGCGCCAGAAGGCCCAATACGATCGAGTAGGCCAGGCCTGGCATTAAACCTCGAGTAAGCCAGGACCGAAACGAAGCACATGACGAACCAGAAGCAAATGCCAAGATGCAGGACAACAAAAAGAAAGCTGATTTCCAGAAACAGGTCGATGGACGCCGGGGGAGAACATGGCATTATGTGATCCACCTGTGATATCCTTTGATCCTAGAGGATCCTGGAGGATGGTTTCGACATCACCTGAAGGATCAGTTGAGTCATCGCTGCAACATGTCGTTCTCCGCCAAAGCCCGGGCATCTTCTCCTTGATTCTATTCAGACTTTTCCCCCCCAAAAAAAGTGTGAAAGACCATGTTTCAGTCTGAGCTACTTGCCTTGGAGGCCAGGGCAGTCGCGCGTTTGCCAAAACGCATCTACCAAAGCACAGCCTGCCCTGGCTGCCATTCCCCACTCAATTCCGGGCTCCCATTCCCCACTTCCACATCGATCCGGAGGCACGACGATGCCTCGAGAGGCTCGTGAACCCGCATCCGAGCCACCAATCAGGAGCCCCGCCATGTCGTAGCGGCCCTTCATCTCCGTGACCGCGCGGATCCTGGTCGACCGAGATCGGCTTTGAGACGGCAAGTTCGGTGACGAGACGGCGTTCGTGGCGTGGAGAACTGCGTGGAGATGGGGCAGCTTTGGACTCGTGGCGTCCTTGGGCCCTTGGGGGTTCTTTCCTCTTTTGAGATGCAGTATGTGTGGCGTCCTTTCGAATCTGTAGTTCCTTTGGGAGGGCCAAGGGGTGAAGATCACCGTCCTTTAAACAAATCCACCAACGAATCAATCGAGGCCCCAAACGCTGAAGCCGAAGCGGCTGGCTGATGGCTGACTCAATGGCGGCCACGTCAAAGGCGTAGTGCACCAGCGCGTTCACCACCACGTAGACCGCCAGAAGCACCTCAGCACCGTGGTGTCATACGGGCGTGGTCTCTTTGGTGGATCGAAGGCAATGAAGGACCTTGGACTTCCCCTGTTTTCCTGAGACTGCCCCATGGCTCGAGACTGAGACCTGGGACTCGGAGATCCCCAAGTCCGAGACCCACTCTGTAGCGCCACACCCAGCGCCGCACCACGCCAACAGGACCGCAGGGCCAACAGCCACGCCCCGCCATTGGTATTCACACCGGGTCCTCCCCAGCTCAACAGCTTGATCGTTCCAGAAACACATCGTCATGCACAGAGTGGCTTACGCAGGTGAGTGGTAGAATGTTGCAGACCACTTTAATGCGCATGACGTCGCAACTGACATCGCATTACTAATTATTCTTCACTTTCCACTTCTATATCGCATACACTCTAGCTTTCGTTCTCCATCCTTATTGTAGGCTCCAAGGAAATCCAAGGAATATTATGTCCCTCGCCAGCCCGGCCCTGAAAGTGAAATTGATGGTGCACCACTTCCGCTGCACGTCACACGTGCTGACTCCAGCCACTGGGTCGGACTGGTGAAAGGGACCTGCAACTCTGGTCTCGCATGGTGCAAAGGAAGGCTCGCTGACCCGCGGGTCTACAGTAGGGGTTCGGGTATACCTTCCTCTCAGCTGGCAGCTGCGTAGTTTGGGGTCGTATTGTCCTAACCTTCCCGAAACCCGCGCAGTGGGATGCAATGCGTAACTAGGTAAGTCCCAGTGCCACAGTAGAGTTTCCTCTTGTAGCAGGGCTTGTCTGAACTTGTAGAACTTGATGGAACGTCAAAAGGACACTGGTCAGGATTTTCACAGCACTTCTGCATCTAAGGTCCATGATCCAAGGCTTCCAAGGTACGGAAAGGTACAACACCCTCCGGGACATCTCACTTTTGCTGGTGGCTTCAGGCACCACCACATGCTGAGGCAAGGGTGCCTGATCGACGAAGCCGAGCACGTCGCATGACCGAGCTGCCACTGGTCCCTCGCTGGCAGCCTGCTCGATAAAATGTCCCACCACATAGGACATGCATGGGACATGAGATGCTATAAAGTTGTCCAACATCGTATTACATCTGTTTCAGACATTGAGCATTCAGTCTCCACCAACCCATGCCGCATGTTCCTCTCCCATTCATGTTCTCCACAATCGGATTTGTGGCTTCAGCACTGCACGGCTGCCGCAAGTCACAAAAAA